GTGCTTCATTTCTCCTTCTGTAGGAAAACACTGTAATAATTGTTCAGTCTACTGCTCCTAGGTGAAAACAGGCTGGTTATGTGGCTTGGATTTTAGTTACGTACAGGATTTCCTTGACTTCTTGGTCTCTCCAGTGTGGCACATTTGTCCCCAGCCGACAGGTTTTATCTTCTTTGCGTAGCTTAGAGAAAAACTGTTGTTCACTAAGGAAAATGAGCTTGTCTCAGGGTGCATGGGAGTTTGCTTTTCCTGTCAAGTCTCCTGGAGAGTCTGCTGTTGGAAAGGAGTTGGATCATCTTAAATTCAAGATTCTTTGAATAGCGCTAAATGCTTTGCTACTCCATTTGGAAAGATTATAAGCTGCCGTGCTGACTGGCTGTGATATTCATTAGAGAACTTTCTGGGAAAATACAGTCAGCGAGAGACAAAGGTTTAGCAGTATCATTTGAATGCTATTAGGGAGCGTTGAACAGCGTTGTCTTTCTGTCACCATGTTTCAAGGATCTCGTACAACTGTGGATAATTCTGGGCTTCTTGTTCAGAGCCAGCTGGAGAATGGGCCCGCAGCAGGGTGTAAGGGGACAGAGGTTCTCCTGAAGTGGTTTTTATAATAAATGTAGCTGTGGAATCATTTGGCTAACTTGTTATTCAACCAGTGCAGAGCAGTCTTTGGCCTTAAATCCAGCTTAGCATGTTGATATGTTTCTGTTGCATAGTGCTACCAGCGAGATGACTCTTGTTTGACATATTCAGCCATTTGGAAACTTATTTTATGTTCAGAAACTTATTTTACGTTCAGCAGGAATGTTAGAGTATGCAGTCATTGGAAAAAATAAAATAGGGATTTGGAGTTAGAAAAAGGAAAGAATCTGGTTGTCTTCTGGCAAGTTTTTTGGTTCTGGTTATCTGCAAAGTATACACCTCTTGTCAGTATAAATAGGGAGTGCCTGTATAAACATTCTTGTTTCGCCTGTTCCACATAATAGTTTCTTGTATCATATTTCTTTTGACCTCGCTATCTGAAACCAATTACAGGAGATCCATTTGGGCTGCATCTATTTTCATAAGAAGCCCAGGCAGCAGTGTTTTTCTCAGAGATGAATATCAACATCAAATATGCTTCTGAGTGCTTTGTTATTTATGTTTCAGAGAGATTTTGTAGCCTTCAGCTCTCAAGAATGTGTCACGCTGTGCTGTTTATACATTGACGATATTAATGGGCGTAGATGTCATTTTTCATTTTAACGTCTCAAATGCAACAGGCTGATAGGTTAAACATTCCTGGTTTTAAAGGAAAGATATGAGTGACATCTGTTTCCTAAAAATATACATATATTTACTTTTTAAAACCCAAAGTAACAAGTTTACCATCTTTTAGTGACGGCTTTCACTTTATTAAAAAGGTAAAACTTTAAAAATTATTTTAAGGCATGTTTAAATTAAATACAAGGGTTTGGAATAAAAATTAAGGCAAGTTGTATCTCGTAGTATTATCACCAACAAATCGCAAAATCTGCCGCGATTTATCAACTTTAATAGGGTGAGTTATATGCAATTAATTTCATTTTTGTTCTGCTTACGTTTTAGCTATGCCAAAGCTGCACAGTAAATATTAAGAAGTAGTGTTCCCAATAAATATTTTACTAGAAGACACAGTGAGTTCTGGAAACCATATGCCCAAATTTCCTGCTTATACAGCCATTACTTAAAGCGTTGTAATGATTTGCATTTGCATTATTAAAATAATTTCTAATCCCCAGTTCTTTTTATTGTTTTTGTCTACATTGACTTTTTTGTATAGTTTTACTAATTTAGATAACTTAATTAAGGAAAAGTGCTTACTAAATTTGAAACAAATGTGATTGGAAACTAGATACGATTTTGACTGCCTTAGAATCCATTCTTGCTGCTGTTAACTTGAGGTAGGACTCAACATAGTTTTGATCTGCCAGATTTTTAAACGTCTATTAGTTTGTATTCATTGAACTGTTTTTAGACCACGAGTTATGACCAAATTAGTTCACAGAAATTTATAAATGATATGTGGGATGTGGGTTTACTTGAAGTGTACATGTTAAACTATGTATTTTGAAAGACACTTTCAAGTTGTCAATTTGTTTTGCAAAGATTTAATAGCAGCAAATGAATTGGTAGAACTGAATGTTTTATAGTCTCATAATCTTCACTTACGAATAATGTCAGTAATAATCCTTTGAAATTAACAGGGTGTTTCTGGGAGGTTGTTTACTGAGTAGCAAAATCTGAAGTTAAGCAGCACACTGGGAGGAAAAAGTACCATATGACAACTGCTATAAGAACAAAGGCTGACAGTGATTTCTCCTTATGAGTTTTAAATCATCTCTGATCTCTTGAAATTGTTTTCTGTTCTTCTTCTATCTCCTGTGTTTACAATAATCTAAACTGCCACAATAAGATCACTGAAGTATTCAGGTAGTCATCACTTATAAGACATTCTGTATTAAAAGATAAGCCTTTACTCCTTTAAAGATATCCCAACCAGCACATATGAATCAAAATAGTTTAAGTAGTAGAGCCTTTTATGCAAACATATCCTGTTGTGCTGCCTTGCTTTTTCATAAAGTGTGATGCTTTTTGTAGTTAGCGGTAGGAAGTCATGCGTTCTTAGGCTGATTCCACGGGAGTATGCTAGCCACAATTTGAAATTACACTGCCTAGCTTAAATCTAAGCTGCAGCATGCTATAATTCTCTAATTTTCAAGTACTGTAAATGTACAGCTTTACCAGATGCTTGCTTGCTTGTTTTATTGTATTGACGTGAAATGACTTTGCAGCTAAGGAAGATTAGGACACTGAAACAACTTGCCAAGCGTTCCAGTTATTTGCAAGTATACATCAGCATTATATCATTACAATTTCTTTTCCCGATAAAGGCCGTGTAATGCATTTTCTGCGACCGCCACAAATAAAAAATAATTATCTTTATATTTTTTCCCGTTTTCTGTAACTCCAGATCTCTTCTCTGGTTCGTGTATCACCCTGAGTGGTGAGGTCGGTTTTCCTGTACAGTCTCCCATGAGTTCAGGAGTGCAGCAGTTCTCTCGCTTCCATTCAAGTTTCCTTTTCGGAGAGGTCTAAAGATTGGGAAGGATTATGAATTCGCCATAGATCTTCTGTTTAAGCGGTTAATGCACGTTTTGTGCTTAAACCACTGCAAGATGTTGGGACCAAATCCTGGTGCCCCTGAAATCAACAGATATATTTATCTCTGATCTCAGACAGAGCAGGATTGTCCTTTAGGATCTGCTGAAGAACTGTGAGTGCAGAAGAGATTATGCTATTCACATAGGAAACGGGGCATCCAGTGGTTCCTTGGTAACAAAATATTTCAAGTGCAGTTTGAAATATGTTAACTTCTATTTATTTTTGGCGGAGAGAAGCTAGTTCTGTGCGTCTCGTTGCTTAGGTTCAGAGGAATGTATAGTCTTTGTAAAGCTGACCTGTAATTACTTGAGAATTTGATGAAACAATACGGGGATTGTTGTGGGAATGTCTCCAAATGTTAAAAGTCTGCTCTGCAAACTTTGTACCAGAGCCTTCTATGGGGAGACGAATCAATGTTGTTAGGAGATGGTGCTAGTGCATTCAGTTTGTTTACTTTGGTTTTCTATGTCTGCCTGCCTTCTCAGAAAACTTGCTTGGAGCCAGACTGTAGCAGCCCTCTCTCTGTCTTTTCATAATTGATCAGGGGATGACTGCCTTCCCTGAGGGTTAAGACGTGGCAACTTTTTCTGTTTGCTCAGCATCTCAATGCAGTAGTTCAAACATTGTTCACACCAGCTGGCAGTGTAATGCCATATGCACATCTTGTCAAAGCAACTGTTGTCATGGATACTAGAAACTATCTTAAAAACCAGCTCATTTGAGTCTAATCAAAATTGTACCTTTCTTTATCAGTTGAGAATCTTTATTATTTTAGGGAACATTGATCAAATGGCATTTATTGCAGTATATTCCATCTACAGTATGTTTTAATAACGTAGATAGTAGTGCGATGTATTTTAAAGCTGTAACTGCTATTTACTGGGCTGATTTTTTAAGGGCGGGGGGAAAGAGTTCTCCAGGTAGTTTCAGTGGAAATGTTTGGAATTGTGGTTTTTTCATTTCTTAATAAATACCACTTTATAACACTTGGCAGTTTAAAAATAATTTTAATGGTAAAAATAATTTAGATTTGCCTTCTTTGGGTAAGAGGAATGTTTGTTTACATTTCATATGTTTAACTGTATTTTGCTGAGTTGGAATGAAAACATAAAATAAATGAAAACATTTCTATTTTGATTGGGATACTGTCATCCCCGAGCCTGATCTGGTTGGTTGAGTAGTAATTTCTTTGTTCTCTGATTTTCCTAAGAATGCAAATGAAAACCACTCATTTTTATTTGGCATTAAAACTGCACTTTTTTTTTTTTTGTCAAAGGAGAGGTTTCTCCTTGAATTGTAAGTACAAAAAGTGTTTTTAATCTTCAATGAATATCCTTATTAATTCACTTTCAAGATAATCTGATGTTGATTTGTCAAATTTAATTACAGCTTCCGGTAACACTTGAAGTCTACTTGCTTTTGCTTCAAAATTGTAATATGAAAATGCAAATTGAATGATAATTTGCAAGGGAGTGGGCATTTTAGTTGAACACTCAAAGACAAGTTCCTTGTGGAAATGAGGCTATTGATGCAGTTTATGATTTTTCCTCTTCAAGCACTTCAAACAAATTAACTTTATTTCCTGCAGGATTTCATGTACATCCATAAATTCTAGTGAAGTCCTATATATGTGCTTTCAGATGATTTTTTTTTATGTCTTAAGTAAAAAACAAACTAAAGTCTGAAATCTAGCAAATACAAATCGAATAGGAGGAGATTGTATTTGTTCAATTGGACTTTTACCTAACATTAGCAATGAGTAACTCATCTCTTTCTAGGAACTGGTGGAAATTATTTACTTTTTTTTTTACTTTCAGGCACTCCAGGCAGCAAGGCAGCTGCTTTTACAGCAACAGACAAGTGGACTGAAATCTCCTAAGGGCAGTGATAAACAGAGACCACTGCAGGTTAGTAAAGTATCCTTGCTTTTGGGGCCTTACTCTCAGGGAAGAGCGCTGTGCTTGCTCACACATGAGGTGGGGGGGTGGATGCCTGTGCTCTAATGCTCTGTATGTGCATCCTCACATACAGGAGGTTACAGGCTTGCATGCTGGTGACTTCTCGTTCACAGAGGAAATTCACTGTAAGTTACGAAAGCCTTTTGTGGCTCTAGGTGCTTAAAAGGTCTAAGACTAAGTCTGAGTTCAGTAGCTATGGTACAAATTAATTCTTTACAGACGTGTTGCAAAATTGGTATGTGATTTTTATACGTACATGGCTTAAACTGTAAAAATGTCTGTGTTAAGACTAAGAGTAAAACAGTATCCAGAAGTAAAAATACCTAAATAACTCATCCATACTATATCTAAGTGCCAAACAGAGAAGTGTTCAGAAACTACCAACACAACTGCATGAAATTATGAAAGAGCTGCTTCTGCCATTTTAGAAAAACATACGTCATAGAGTTTCACACTGCGATGCTGTTGGGCTTCAGATTGTGTTTGGGTGAAGCGGACTTCTGTTATTAAATAATACTTTTAAGTGCATTATTAGTAAAACTATATATAGCATTTTATTCTTAAAAAAATTTATCTGGGTGGGGTTTTTTTGAGGTTTTAGTTATTTATTGCTAATTCAGAGTTCCATATGAAATTGCATCCTGCTGACAAAACTGGTTCTCTGGTATATAGACCAAATATGAGCGTTTAACTGCTGAATTACAGTCTGTTGCAGACAAAAGATGTACATGAGAGATGATTTTATTTTGTTCAGGAAATAAAAAAAGTGTAACTCCTACCATTCTCTTCCTCACATCTATTTTTCTGGATGAGCCTTTATCCCCTTGGGACTTCCCCTGTTTTCTGATGGAATAGGGCAGTTTTATCTCAGTTTTAGTTTTTGTCATGCATAATGGAGGACCCCAGGCACCAGAATTTATCTTTTTCTCCACCAGTGAAATGTTGTGAAATTTGATCACTTGTGCAATTTTTGTATGTAATTCACATTGTCTCCTTTTCTTTGTGAAACTTCATGGATCAATGTTGGACACAGCAAACAGTTCCACATTGCACATCAGCTCTCTTCAAATACACTTTTAAAGTTGTATTTATTTGCTCGGAACTAAACAAGAACTTAGGAAAATTACTAAAGAAAATGGAAAAAAAGAAAACATGTCAAGTTGGCATCCTGCCAGGCTGTAGTTATAGTCCAGTCCAGAGGTGTAGGAGTCCTGGGACCATCTCAACTTTCCTCTCTTGACCCTTGGCTTCGCTTTGTATTAAATATTTTCTAGGCTGAAGGCATGCAAGAAGACTAGTCATAAAGGCAGCAGCTTATGAACTACATAGGCTTTTTTAAGTTTTTAGGAGTGGAATTGGTGATCTTGAAGGGTTGAATCTCAGAGGTGATTGGTTTAATGAATACTGTGAAAGTAGTTTATTCTGCCAGCTCCTCATTCTGAAAGATAACATGGACTGTACTAGGAGTGTACAAGGTCCATCTAGCCCTATATCCCGTGTCTAAACTGGCCAACACCAGAAGCTAAGGCAAGTATATGAAACAGTCAATAATACTGATATTTTCCCAGTATATGTTTCCAAGTGAAGTTAGTTTACTTTAATCCTCCAACTTGCAAACTGGAGCAGTTCAGGAGCTGCTGACTCCTCTGCTCACATTCTCCACCCATTCGTAAACCTTCTTTTCAAGGCTGAAGAGGTGTGGGGGTGCACTGTTTGTGGTAGGCGTCGATGAAAGGAGAGAAAACCATGTTTGGAGACAAAGACAGTCACACACATAACCCAGAGCATGGTGAGATGCGGAGAGGGAGTCTTGTGCTTTCCTGCTCCCAAAGCACTAACCTTGGCCTGAAGCCTTTTAAATGGCATGGGATGGTGTATTTACGTCCTGTATTTCATGTTTGCCAGGAAGAGTCAGTGCCTCATGAGTCACACTTGCGAGGCAGGAAGAAGAAAATAAAGCAAATAATTTTCTGTTCAGAATTGTTACATGCTTCCTAAAGCCAAGATTATTGCTCATGCTTTCAACTCTTCTTTCCATGATCAGTATGTACACAGTGCCTCTTATTAGCCTTGGACACTTTATTTGGTTCATTTTTAAATGAGAGGAAAATGGAATTTGCTCCCAGACTTTGGTTTATGTATCAAATACCGTGTAAATTCAGGTATGAGCACAAACTCCATTTTAATTTTCTTCTTTAGTGAAAAGGATGTATAATATAAAGGTTTTGAAAATGAGTCCTTGGAGCTTTTCTATTTCTGTCTTTTACTGTTACTAAAGAGCTGTTCATTGTTCATTATGTAGTGGAAATTCACATTTTGAGCATCGTGATGCCTGTTTGACCAAATACTGTAATATGGGTCATAAAATTGTACAGTATTATTATTTTATTATGCCAAATTTAATGGTAACTTTAGCCAAAATCTCCTAGCAGTAGGAATTGCTAAATGTGTACAAGCAGTGTGAGGTTTGTAAGACAAAAATACTTGTGCTTGTGTTTGTGCTAAAGGAAACAGACTTCTCCCAGTATTTTAAAATACTTTAATATCAGTGTATGTCTAATTTCCTCTAATTTCAGAGCAATTTACTAATCTGGCAAGTGGAGATATGTTAGAACTGATTTATAAATCTAGTAAAACCTAATAAAACTTTTAAAACTAGCTCACACATCTGCAGGCAAATGTGGGTATTAGGTAAGCCTTGCCATTGCATCTCTCATGTGCTCCATATTTTGATGTAAACTATTCTGTTGTTCCATGTGCCAAAGAAGGAAAAAAATGGTATTAATTTTAGTAGCCATCTTTTCGTATTTGATGGATATTTGGGGGAAAGTAGCATATGGTGTTTTTATATATGTTCTCTCTGTTATTCCATAATGCGTCAAGTATTTTAGTGACTTACAGCACCTACTAGCTAATCAGCAAGTTGAAAGCTTATTGAAGAAGCCTTGAAATATGTGTCCTCAACTTTGCAAAAACAGGGTGTTGGGTAAGTCGTCATGTTCTACTGTGCTTTACAGAGGGGATGGTTTTAGAGAACCGCTGGGATTTTTCTAGAAGAATTTAGGTGTCTTTTCTACCCTTCTCTTGAAAAACCTTTTTAAATTTACTGCTAGCTGTGTGATCTGTTGTAAAAGAGGAATGTTGTGTTGGCAAATGGTTTTGGTTTAGTTTTTAATGCAAAAGTTACTCTTATCTACTAGTTATCCTAAATTTTCAGGGAGAGGAGGTTTATATTTAGATTGTGAGTTAACAGAATACCTGCAAAAATTACAGTTTTAGATAGACTCTTATCTTGATCTGCTATTACTTTCTGATTTACATTTTTCTGGGTTTCAGACTGCAGATGGCATAACCATTAGCATGTCTTATGCAAAACAGAAGGAGAAGAACATCCCATCTGACAAGCTTGAGTACCAATTGTAGTAGTGATTTTACTTTCATGTATAGATATCCGAATAAATATATTTGAAACATGTTTATATATGCCATTCATTACACTGATGCACCAATTGAATGGATCCAATCAGTACATACATTGATTAATGACATATTGCAGAATAGCTAAGGAGGGTTTGTGATGAGAATTGAGGATAATGTTAACCTGCCTATGATGAGATAATAGCGTTTACTTTCTTACTGTGTGTGCATCCTGGAAAACATACTGCAGTAGTAAGGTTAAGATTTCTGTAGTACTGGTTTTTGTTTCAGAATATTTTTCTTTTCTGGAGAAGCTGTGATTGTGGTAATCCATGGTGAAGCAAGCTGATTGCTTTCAAAGATTTTACTCCCTATCACCACATTTCCATAGTAGGCATAACAGGGAAAATGACACTTTGGCTCTTAGAACCTGTAGATCATTGTCCTGTGGCAGAAATTCACTGTCCTTATGGCCACTGAAAAACCTGGCTTCATCTAGCCTGCATTTTAAAACTGGCAGCTGTATTGTTCTTGTTACATTTACAATCATGAGCGAGACTTGCTGTTCTTCAAGAACTGTGCAGAGCACAGGCATAACCCAAAGGTAAATGCTGTCAATTTGCTGCCATTGGTGGGCGTTCGTGTAAGGCATTGCAATTATTTCCCTTCCAGGTAGACAAATCTCCATGCTTAGACTAATCCGTCCATGATACACATGCTGTTGTTGGCTGCATAGCATAGTGATTTGGACAGCTAGTTGTAATTTTATTTGTTTGCTCTAAGAGTTATGAAGAGCCTAGCTATTTCTGTTCCCTGTAATGTCTCTAAAGAAGTAGTTTATTTTCATAAAGTCAGACTTTGAACTTTATCTCGATTAGAGTAAGTAGACAATTATCTTCAATCCCATAAGTTAATAAATCTACAGTGAATTGGTTAGTTGTTTTTTCTTTCATGCTAGGAGACTTGTTGTTTCAACATCAGTACTAATGCATTCGGTATGAGGATGGCATGTCAGGAAATCATGACTCTTGGAATCAAAGGGTTAAGCTCAGTGTGTACCAAGCCTGTTGTATAAATATCATGCTGTATGGAGTGTTGAGTTGTTAAGGTAAGCTTTGTTTATTTAGCATGAGCACTTCACTGAAGTGTAATCATTTGATAAAATTTGGGAAAAGTAAGTATGCATTTAAGTTTAATTACTTAATGTTTATTGCATTAGTGCATAGTATCAGAAGAACCACTTTTTTTAAAGACATGCAAAATGCAAAAATTTAGCATGAAGAGATATTCATAGTCACTTTTAACCTACTCTCCTTGCTTTACTCTCTCCTAGTTTGGTCATCTCCCTTTGGATCTTCATACGGGTCTGAATTTAAAATTCATTGCACATAATAAATAAGCAAACATATCATTAATATTGTAACTTTTAGTTACTTTTTTAAACATACATAAGGAGCTGATGAGAGATAAGAAATTGGGAATGTGGGAAAAAAGAAGCAAAACCCACTGCTTTTAAATTATATCCTCTGACT